ACTACTTGAATGTCAACATCATTACCATTTCCTATCATATCCTTGAACAGCGAAGGGGTTGTAACAGTCTCTAAGGCACAGGCTCTCAAACTTTTTGGTCTCAGATTCCCTTTATGCTCTTAAAAATTATTGAAGACTCCAAATAACTTAAAAAAAAACATGTATTATATCTACTGCATTTTAATGAAAATTAAAACTGAGTAAAAATTTGATCATAACCTATTTCCTAGTATTTTTAAGAAAAAATAATTTTTCCAAGTAAAAAGTATTTTACATCTTTGCAAGCAATATCTTTAATGGCTGGCTTAATTGAAGACAACTGGATTCTCTTAGCTGCTTCTGCCTTCTATTGAGCTGTGCTGTCTCAAGTATTTATAAGAAAACCCAAGCAACTCACGGACCCTTTGAAAGGGTCTCGAAGACCCCGGACCACACTTTGAGAACAGTTGCTTTAAGCTTTTATCCAACTTCATTTTTTAAATTTTGGCTGGGCTGGGTCTTTGTTGCAGCTAGTGGGCTTAGCTGCCCCAGGGCTTGTGTGATCTTTGGGATTCTTAACCACTGGACCAGGTAAGTTCCTTTCTTCCTGCTTTACATCATTCATTCATTCACCCATTCAACACTACTGGATCCCAGCGACAGAAAGAAATCGTGTGACTTGGCTGTCTTGGAGGAGACTAGATAAGAAACAGATGAAAACTAAAAATTATGCACAGCATAAGTGAGCATAGGGGAAGAATTTACTGGTGGGTCTCAGAGGCAAGGGAAGGCTTAAGAGAGTACAAGCAGTTTGAATTTAGGCTTGGATTTCTTGTGCTCGTTTAAGCAGAGGGAAAAGCACATCCACAGTACCAGAGGCAGGAATGAAAACAGTACAACAAAGCACAGGTTTAGTTAGGTACAATTTACTCAGAAGTAGAATGCAATAATCTTTTATGTTTATAGACCTGTAAGTTGTGACAAAGGTATACAGAAAACACTAATAAAACCAAGACAATACGCCCATCACCTCAGTAAGTTCTGTGCAGCCAATGCCCAACCCTCACCTTCTCAGCTGCAGGTAACTATTAATCTGATTTCTGTTTTTAGTTTGTTTTTTGGCCATGTCACACAGCTTGCAGGATCTCAGTTCTCTGACCAGGGACTGGACCTGGGCCATGGCAGTGAAAGCCTGGAATCCCAACCACTAGGCCACCAGGATATTCCCTAAGTTTTTACTTTATAATACCCTTACCACAGCTCCATCCAATGGTAACACCTTACAAAACTATAGAACATATCAAACCAGGAAACTGACATAAGTGCAATTAACTACAGACTTTATTCTGGTTTCACCAAAGTTTATGTGCATTAACTTGCTTTAAGGAACATAACTGGGCTTCCCTGGTGGCTCAGACGGTTAAGAATCTACCTGCAATGCAGAAGATTGAGGTTCAATCCCTGGGTCAGGAAGATCCCCTGGAGAAGGGAATGGCTACTCACTCCAGTATTCTTCCCTGGGAAATCCCATGGAGAAAGGAACCTGGAGGGCTTCGGCCCACAGCGTCGCAGAGTCAGACATGACTGAGCGACTAAACACCAGGAGGTGATACAGGTGTGCTTATCTGGCACAGTACCTGTAACTTAAATTCAAGAAATAATTTCACCATTTTTCTTATTATAAAGGGAAATTTGGCTGACCACCCCAACTTGTAAGGTTACTATAATTTTTGAACATGCCTGTCATGAATGTTTTGATGTATGCACATTGCTTCCCTGGTGGCTCAGATGGTAAATAATCCACCTGCAATGCAACAGACCCAGATTTGATTGCTGGATCAGGAAGATCTCCTTGAGAAGTGAATGGTTACTCACTCCAGTATTCTTGTATGGAGAATTCTATCGACTGAGGAGCCTGGTGGACTAGTCCATGGGGTCGCAAAGAGTCAGACACAACTGAGTGAGTAACACTTTCAAGGAACATGTGAGGATGTGCTAAGTCACTTCAGTCTTGTCCGACTCTCTGCGAGAGGTAAGAGGTGGGTTCTTTAACCACTAGTGCCTCCTGGGAAGCCCCTAATATGGATTTAGACATGGAAGGAGAACTCAAGGAAGTGCAGGGAAAGGACTGGAGGAGACATTTCTGAAGAACAAACATCATTTGATGAATAACTTGGTGAGAACGTTAACATTAATCCTTTGGCAAATGGAGTCTCCTACATGGTAGGAGAGCAAGCAGGTTGTTTTAATTGAAGGGCTGACTCTAGTTGAACTGAGGAAATGTTTCGTCCAGTTATGAAAACCCTGAATTATTAACCAATTAATTAATAATAATCAATTAATTAAATTAATAAGCATAATATTCTTGCTTACTCTTAACAAAGAGAAAAAAACATATTATTTTAATCAGATTCTTCATTTTCTTACTCTTGCCTGACTGAAAACAATAACTGTCAAACATATGATATCCCTTTCAGGTTTAGACAGTCATCTGTATGCACTCCTTAATAGGATTAGCTAAAAATTTCCCAAGCCGAAACAAACTCTTACTCCTTCCTGGAGTTCAGTTATATTTCTGTCAGCTCCCCTACCTGCTCCAGCATTTTGTCTGACTATATTATTGATAATGCCTTAATCTCTATCACTTAATATATTTACAGAAATCATTTACTTATCACAGGATTATGGGGTGTTGCTGTTTTTCCTTTTATAGGCCAAGGGTACTAAGAGTTTGGTACCTTGGATCACACACACAATATCCTAAAATGCATAGAAAGTCACTGGCAGGAGACGATCGTCAGTTAATCTTAGCCTTGATAACTAAGCCCATTTTTTTCCCCATGCCACAGGGCATGTGGGAAATTAGTTCCCCAACCAGGGATCGAACGATAGCCCGCTGGCTTGGAAGCACGGGGTCTTAACCACTGGACCACCAGGGAAATCCCTGGAAGCCCTATTCTTTCTATCCCACCAAACCCCGTTATGGCCTTGATGAACCTCTTCAAGCTGTGCGGGACTGGACTGAGGCAAAAGCTCCATACATGCATTGGAAATATTTCTGGTGACAAAGTCCTCATTTAAAGCCCTGTTTGTTTAAACCTTAGTTTGGCTGATCATTAATTACCACCAAACACACACAAGCCTTTGAGTAGAGCTGAGTGACCTAATATTTATTTCCTTGACTTTAAGATGAGCTTTTTATATTTTTGAAATGAAGACGCCTCTTAAATCAGATTTAAGAAATACGGTAACAAACTGCTTTTACTGTGTCCCCTGCTAGTTTACATACACTTTAGCTCTTAATTCACCAAATACTTGCTGTTATTATTATCATTATCTGTAATCACGCCCATTTTTTTTTTAAGCCCATTTTAAAGATGGGAAAAGCACAAGAAGGCTCTCATTTTCTCCAGGTAACACAGCTACTAATGGTGGAAAGGAATAACAATAATCCCAAAGCAAGGAGTACTTTAGAATCCAATTTAGGTAGACTTAGCTAAAGGACACAGTTCTGGTTTTTGCACACACGCACACACACAAAGGAATTTCAAATATAAAAGGGTAAATTAAAATAACAGTCAAAAATCAAATAAAAGACAAAGAAACGGGGACTCAGCAAGATCAATGAACTTGTCCAAGGTTATACACAGGATATCAGATCCAGAATCCATGACAGATCTGTCTTGATTCCAAACTGCGCTTCTTTCTACCAAACCACGCTGCCAACAAACACGTGGTAAGGGGATGCATAAATATTTGATGAATAATGCCTGAAAACGAAGTTGACAAGGATGGTGGTAAAAATATAATAGATTAAAAACGGAAAAGTAGTTCAGGAACTGAAAAAAAAAAAGAATCACACACACCCCAATAGTTTTCAGAGCAGAGCACTCAGGCTGAGCCAAGATGCTGGAACAAACTTTGCGCGGGGGCCGCCGGACACCCGGGAGCGCAGTCTTCCACCGGGTTGGTTCCCAAGGAGCCAGCCGGCCGTGGGGCACAGCAGCCAAGCGCAGCCGCCTCCCGCGCCCACGCCCTCCCCGACCGCGAGTCACCGGGCCGGGCAACGCAGGATGATAACGCCCGGAGGTTAGCCGCCTTTCCTGCCGGGCCGCTAGCTTAAAAAGCAACACAAACACGTGTCCCCGACCGGTGCGCAGCCTCCCGTCGGGGTTGAGGGCACCAGGGCGCTTCCCGCGGTCGGCCCGGCGGCCAAGCGCCCGAAGGCAGGAGCCTCCCGCGGTCCCAGCTCGCAGCCGGGAAGCACCTGCCGCTGCGGTCGGCCCGGCCCAACGGCGGAGCGCCTAGGGCCCGGTTCCGGGTAGGCCCCAGGCCGGGCTGGGGGCCGCGCGGGCCGGCGCCCGGGCGTTTCCTCTTCCTCCCTACGCGAGGCGCGGCGGCGCGGCGGCGGCCAAGCCGAGGCCGGGCTCGGGCGCCCGACCGCGGCCTGCCGACGAGTGCGACCAAACGCCGCGCCCCGAGTCGCCGCCGCCGCCGCCGCCGCCGCGGCGCCCCCGCCGCGCCCTCCGGCCGCGGGGCTCCGGGCAGCTGGGCCCGGCGCGGGCAGCGAGAGGCGGGGCCGGCGTGCGGGCGGCGGAAGGAGGCGGAGGAGGAGGAAGAGGAGGAGGAGGAGGAGGAGGCGGCGGCCGGGAGCCGGGGAAGAGGGGCGGGGGGTGGGCCGGGGGAGGGGAGGAGCGGGGTTTGCGGAGCGCGGCGCCGCAGCCGGGAGCCGGCGGGCCCGAGAGTGACCGAGTCACGGCGGGCGCCGGCGGAGCCGCGGCGTCAGACCCGCCTCCTGGAGGAGCTCAGCCCCGGCCAGGCCCGGCCCCATTCCCGCCCCGCGCCGCCTCCCCGCCGCCGCCGCCGCCGCCGCGGGAGCGCTCCCCTGCCCACCCCGCCCCCGCGGCCGAGCCCGGGAGTCGAGTGGGAGTCGGCCGGCCGGCGCGGGCAGCGCCGGGACCCCACAGGGGACACTGCAGCCGGAGCCCGGGAGGGGCCGCGCCGCCACCGTCTGAACTAGGATGTCCCGACATGAAGGTGAGAGGAGCCCCCGCCCCCACCCCCACCGCCCGGGCCTCGGCCTACCCCGCCCGGGCCGGGCGCCGCGGAGGGCGGCCGGGAAGCGGCGGAGACTTCGGCCGGGCCCGAGCCGGGCCCGAGAGCGAGCGAGCGAGCGAGGGCGGAGAGCCGCGGCGCCACCGCCGCCGCCGCCACGGCCGCGGCCCTGAACTGGGCCTGGTGCCGGAGGCGGGGCGGCCGGGCCGGCCGGAGGGTTTGCACTGTCATGGGGCGGGGGAGGGGGAGGGGAGGCGGCGGGGCCCGTTACCGGCGGGAGCCTGGTCCTCGGAACTGATACCGGACGCCGCAGCCCGGCCACCCGGCCCCGGAGCCGCGGGGCCCCGGCGCGGCCTAGAGCTCCCGCCGTCCCGGAAGGGCCCGGCGCGGCCGCCGAGCGGGGCCGCGGACGGCGGCAGGAGACCGAGCAGCCGACCCGGGACTCGGCGGGTGAGTCCGGTCACCGGGAGACGAAGGGGAGTGCCCTTGCCTGCGGGCGACCGCGGGGAGGGCGGGAAGGCTCTGCGGCCGGGGAACGGGAAGCCCCCGTCGCCTGGAGCCCGCCCCGGCCTCGCGGCTAGGCCTCGGCACGTCCCTGGGCTCGGGTAACCCAAGTTCCCGGGGCGGATCCGGCCCGGCCGGGCGAGCAAACTCACTGCTCGGTCACTGGGTCGGAAGGGAACTCGCTCCCGGCGGGTGGCGGACCCCTTGCCCGGCGTGCACGGTCTCCTGAAGCCAGGTTTTAGTAAATGACCGTGGTGAGGTCTGGTAGTGGTTAGGGGGCGTTTGGGACTTTGTTTTGTGATTTTAAAACGTGGGGGTACAGTTGCAAATCAGCAGACTGTTCTAGTCCGATCCCAGGACACAAAGAGAAAAATGTTTAGGGCCGAGGTCGAGGTGTTGAGCTGATGAAAAAATAAGTTAACTTTAATTTGCTGCCATATGGTTTAGAAAAGGGGGAGGGGGTTGTGTTTTCTTTGTTTCACTACCACAGGTCTTTAAATAAAAAGTCTTACGAGACTTGGCGGAAAAGTTTATCCTGGTAAGGTTAATGCACGATTGTAGAAGTGGCTTGAAGACATTTTGTACTCTTGATGTTAAAATCCTATATAGGTGATGTAAGAGTGGAGAAAGTTTAGTGAGTCAGATTCGTGTGTGTGCACCACAACGTTGCAAAGGTATTCTTAGGGAAATATAGGCCTTAGAATTTCAAGATGGAAAAACTCAGATTGATAAAAATTATATTTAGAGCAAGTTTCAGGATTTGAATTACTAATTATAATGTAATTTGAGATTAAATCCAAGAATATATTGTGTCCAAGGCTTCTGTATTCTAAAATCACAAAACCAATAGGAAATAGACTATTTTCTTCACTTACTGTGTACTAGTGTTGGACAGTTTGAAATAATAAGGTACATAGGTTCATAGAAATATTTAGAAGCTATGCCTATTTCCCCTCCACCCCCCCCCCTTTTTTTTACTTAATGGAAACATTCCTGTCTTGTAATTTAAAATAAGTTTAATTAAGGTGATAATAAAATTTTAATTTGGGATGTAAAGTTTATCTTAGACTGAAGTTGTGTGTACAGTGACCACCTTCAGGACAAAATGAAAGTGAGCAATGGCTGTAGGCTCTCTTACTCATAAGAACTGGGAGAGTTAAAGTTACAGATTTCATAGCAATGGAAGAAGGGTGTTTGAGACCCATTCTCTGCTTCAAGAAACTATCTGGATAGTTGCAGACTGAGTTTTGTAATTGAATGGTGTCCTGGGAAAATTCCTTTACCCTCAGTAATCCTTTAGAGAAATTAAAACCCCACAGTGTGAACATTCTTGAATGTAGCACAAATTCTGTACTTTAAGCCTGTTTTCCCCTGTTTGGTCCTGTGGAAAGACATGTGGTCATGAGACTTACATTCACCTTTTAGTTACTTGAATATTACTGAACCCCTCAGCACAGGAATAGCACACCTTTTCTGTAACTTAGAGCATGCCAGCTGTTTCTGAAAAAGGAACATTCCTACCATACATCAGTTGAAGATTTATAGTACAGTATTTGTCAAATGATTACTTTTTAAGGGTCTAGCTAATAGCCTAAGGCAGGAATGACAATCTCCTGAAGAATCACATTTAATTCATTAGATACATGGTGTGTGGAATTTTAGTTGGGGCTGCCAGTTATTTTCATTGGTTAGAATTTAACCTATCAACAAATGTAGAGATTGACACTCGGTAGTGTTGTTCTTTTCTCATCCTTTCTTCTTTGGGCCAAGTAATCCCATTTCTTTAGTGGTAGGATTTTTGAGCTCTTTTCGTCATCTGTCCACCTCCAAATTCTCTGGAGTTCCCCTTTCCTTTCAGTAGTATGACCTAGAACTGGCTGTAGTAGTCTGGGAAGAAATCGGAACTGTGCTGCCCGCCTGTGATGTGCTTGCACTGTGCTTGCGTTTCAGTGCCTTCTCTATTGCCAGTGCTTTGTTACTTTGTCTTTGGGCCCACCCTACTGAGTTGCACTATATTGTGTGTAACATGTAACTTTGGACAACAGGACCCCAAGGTGGACATCTGTCAAGCTTTAGTCTATACCTTGCAAAGCAGTGAACTACCTCAGAGAAACAAGGTGCAACTGGAAGCACAGAGAAATGTTCTAGGCATGTTCTAGGGGTCAGCATGCTTTTTTTCTGTGAAGGGCTGGGGAGTAAATATCATAGGCTTGGCACGCCTATGCCCCCTCTGCCGTTGTAGTGTAAAAGTAGACAACATGTAATGAAATGAGCACAGCCGTGTTCCAATGAAAACTTTTTGGGACTGACGTTGAATTTCATATAATTTTTATGATTCTTTGTTTTTACCATTTAAAAATGTAAAAACCATTCTTAGCTTGAGGGCTGCACAAACACTGGAGGTGGCCACATTTGGCCCATTTTGGCCTGCAGGCTATCATTTGCCTGCTTTAGCTCTAGACTTTAGTTTTAGAGTTGATTGAACTGGAATTGTCGAGAGTCCAGAAAGGGCCCACTCTGCTTGGTATTCATTCCGTCATTTCCTTTGGGGTATGGGGAGTGAGTCCATGGTCTGAGCCAGTTCTGTACCTGTTTCCAGCAGCACTATATAGATTGTGATCAGAGTTATTGTTCATGTGGCAGGAGAAACAGACTGCCCACTCACCTTTCCAGACACTGTTGGAGTGGAGTTGGTGGTACTCTACATTGTCTCCTGCTTGCCAGTCTTTACTTTCACAACCAGAATTCCAGGGCCTTTTAAAATTCACTTTGTAATGCTCTTGTCACATCAACAAACATTTTACAATGTCAGTTCCTAGTCACTTTATGTTCAACCTACCAGCACCATCTAGTTCCATGTTATACACAGTGAAACCCATCATTTTCTATTTCATTGGTAGAAGTTTGTTTTTTTTTAATGTTTCACTACATGCTTTCTTCTTAAATACATTTAGAGTATAAATGTTATTCAGAGCTTAAAATCCATTTAATAGCTTTGCAAATGTTTTTAAGAACATATCAAATTACTCTGCTTATTAGCTAAAATGAAATTATAAATGTTCTTGCATGACTTGGAGCCTAATTGATTACCTAGTTAGGAATATGTTTTATTACCTTAAATCATTCACCCTTTTTTCATTTGCTACTATGTATAAGGCCCTGGGCTAGGTACCAAGGATGAATGAAGCAGAGACAGCTCCTTACCTTAAGTCTGGTGGGGAAGATGGAAGATGCATGTGTGCACAGCTTCTCAGCACAGTGCGAGACATGCCATAAGGAAGGGATAAACAAATTGATGACAATATAATTACCAACTTTTTTCTTACTATTTTTGCCCAATTTCAGAGAGGGAATCTATTGTGATTTCTAACTCCTTTTCTTGAGTGCCTCCTAGCTTCATTTTGGATAAAATCATCTGAGCTTTCAAATAGAGCTCCTATTTGAACTGATCTCTACTCGATTTATATTTCCCCTAAGTTTTTGAAGATTTCCATATGTAAGCAATGACAGTGAATACATGGACTAGTGATCCTAACATGTTATTCTCAAAAGCATCTGAGACTATTTTCAAAATGTTAAGTACAGCAGTACTTACTCTGTCATTACTCTGGTTCTTGAAAGTTGTACCATTTTTTGAAGTTGTATCACTTTTTTGTTAGATTTCTATTCTCTACGAGTGCTATCTAATGCTATAAATGAACATGCAGACAGTCCTAGCGGGGATTGCAATAATTTTGTTTTCAGAATTTAGGGACTGGAAAGCCAGGATAGGCATTTAGCATAGGATTTTTAACGTGGTGACTTTTGCCTTCCTATGGCAAAGTAAATTCACTACCACTGAAAAGCTCTTTGCTATCATGTCAGACAACTTACTTCACTAAGTGATCTGTTAAAAAGATTATGACATTCTTACTTGACTTTAAATTTCAGTGAATCATTTATTACATTTACTTTGACTTTCAATAAAGGATAGAACATAAATATTTTAATTTCTGGAGTCTTTGATTCCATAATTTTTTATAAAGTTGATTTTGAAGTCCATTCTCCTCATTTGTTGACATCCATGTGTAAGTTAAAATATAGCAAAATATAACTTCCTTGTTTTATATTAGAAATTTAATTTGAAAGGAATTTCCGTTAGTCTTAGAACTTTAAGCGTTTATTAACAGCAGTCTTGTTTAAAGATTGAGAACTTTTTCACTGTGAAAATTAGGAAGCTTCTGATGTGAAGTGACCTTCACATTAGGTTTGCAACATTTCAAAAAAGAAATCCATGTCCTTATGAGTCATAACTTAATCTTCAAAACATCAGCTTTATAACATCTAATATATATCTGCTGAGGTTTGGATTTTTTTAGAGCGGAGGTTCCAAAAATTGTTTTTAGTAAAGATTAAGGTATCATTTAGGATATATTATCCTAAAAATAGTATGTTTTTAATTTCATTATAAGCACTGCTGTGGGGCTTCTTTCATGAAT